TAATACCTAACCGGGAATTGTCCAGGAAATATCGAGGAAATGCGTAGTGAATGATGGTCATTTCTCAATTCCTCAGGGAATTATATATATTTGTATGGTATTATTAGGAATTGGGAGAATTCCTATTGCTCAGTCCTCGGACACTGCTGTAAGGAATTCTTCTATTTTATGCTTTCTAATTATTTTCAAATAAAGGCGACAAAAAATACTCGATCGGATAAAATAAAATCGAGAGACAAATCTTATGGATCTTTATATGAAACAAGAACCATCGGTACGAGAAAGAAGTGAGTAATCTAATTTTATTTATGTATCATTTTGAAATTTCTTTGTATTACTATTTCAGATGGTCTGCTTTCAAGCCATCAAGGTGGTTTGTACCTGCAATTATCCTTCTTGCTCTTCTTATTGCTGTAGCTGTTGCCGGAATTGCTGCTGGTGCTGCGATTACTTTGAAAAAACCAACGACAACAGGAACAAGTAAGACTTCATTACAGCACATACATTCAACAATATTCATGATAAACACAGAATATGGATGTCAAAATCTTAGCGCATTGCTTTTAATCTAATTTTTTCAAGGACTTTTGCATGATTGGCCGTACAAGTCTGTCTTCTCTCCGTTTCTTTTCACCCGCTCACAATAGACGCCATTTTGTGAAACACGATAAGAAGAAGTGTTGAAATACAGGAGCAGAAATTGAATCTACTCCAACCGCACAGACCGTGACAAACATCTTTCATAACACTCCAGGTCCATCATTACGACGATCGTAAACTGTTGTTTATGTTGACGTAAATGAAACAGAACACCTGTTTATCCCTCACACTTAGCCGTAGAAACGAAAACGCCTTCCCACGTTCGCATTTCTCTTAAAAGTTCAATGATTTTTCTTAGCGAGTCTTCTTGGATCTCTCCTAAGATTTCTAGAATATGTCATAGGATCTCTACGATATCTCCAAAGGATTGTGTAAGATTTCTGGGACATTTGCAAGGGTTTCTCTATTATTTGCGCGGCATCTCATAGGGACCGTCTTAGAATTTCTGTGATAGTACCTAGGGACTGTCCTAGGATTTCCACGATATATCTTAGGGTGTCACCTACGATTTCTATGCATCTTCTAGGATTTCTCGTGGGCTTTTTCCAGTATCTGCTAGCGACTGTGCTAGGCTTTCTACAATAACTCCTAGGGCCTCTTCTGGGATGTGGGGAAATATTCTGTGATTGTCCCTAGGATTTCTAAAATATATCCTAGAGATAGCGATGAAATTAAAATCTACTACCGCAGTTTCATCGTTTTTCACATCTTAATCTTATAGGAATTCTGCTTCTGTAACTGATCATATGTACAGCAAAAACTTCTCACGGTCTTTTTAAAACATATCTTTCTTTATTACGTGTTCCCATTAGTTTAACCTTCGACCAAAAGCAAACCGGCATCAATATTAGATAAGCTTTTGGATGTTAAAATGACTAACATATATCTTCGAAGAGAAATTATAGAAATCAGATATTATATAAATTGAAGACTACTGATATTCGGTATTTATAATAAATTCGAGTTTTTTCATAAAACTTTTAGCTACAATCGCAATAACTCAAACGACAACTTCGCAAACAACAGTGACACAGACAACAACAACATCAGTGACAACAACAACAATAACAACAACAACGTCAGTCACAACGACTACGACAACAACTTCAGTCACGACTACTACAACTACAACAACAACAACAACAACATCGACAACGTCAGTCACAACGACTACGACAACAACTTCAATCACGACCACTACAACAACAACAGCGACAACTATACGACCAGTAATATGCCCATCAGCTGTCTGGCATCCAAGCGGAACTACAGTTGCTGGATCATCTAGTGGCACTCCTGGTTCAACGCCATCACTATTACGAGGAGCATATGACGTTCTAGTAGATTCAGCGCTCAATGTGTATGTAGCAGACTACTTGAATTATCGTTACATGAACTGGTCCCAAGACAGTACAAACGGAACAGTAATTGGTCCACAGTCTGGCTTCGGTGGATCCACAGACACACAGCATCTGAATACAGCCACAACTGCATGTTTCGACTCGACTGAATCAAATTTATACCTATCAGATACGTTCAATTGTCGTATTCTGAAATTGAATATAGCGTCAGGCAATATCACAGTTGTTATTGGTCCAGGATGTAGTAATGCTATGAACCGGTTCGATTGGTGTGATGGACTATATGTCGATCGTCAGTATCCATCATCTTTTTTTAATTTAATTTAATTTAATTTATTTTCATTTTAAATAGGATTTG